CCAGCAGCAGTAACAGTGCCAGCAGCAGGAGAGGCAGCAGTAACAGTGTCAGCAGCAGTAACAATGCCAGCAGCAGTAACAGTGCCAGCAGCAGCAGTAACAGTGCCAGCAGCAGGAGAGGCAGCACTAACAGTGCCAGCAGCAGGAGAGGCAGCAGTAACAGTGCCAGCAGCAGGAGAGGCAGCAGTAACAGTGCCAGCAGCAGGAGAGGCAGCAGTAACAATGCCAGCAGCAGGAGAGGCAGCAGTAACAGTGTCAGCAGCAGGAGAGGCAGCAGTAACAGTGCCAGCAGCAGGAGAGGCAGCAGTAACAGTGTCAGCAGCAGGAGAGGCAGCAGTAACAGTGCCAGCAGCAGGAGAGGCAGCAGTAACAGTGCCAGCAGCAGGAGAGGCAGCAGTAACAATGCCAGCAGCAGGAGAGCAGTAACAGTGCCAGCAGCAGGAGAGGCAGCAGTAACAGTGTAACAGCCAGCAGCAGCAGCAGTAACAGTGTCAGCCAGGAGAGGCAGCAGTAACAGTAGGCAGCAGTAACAGTGCCAGAAACAGTAACAGTGCCAGAAACAGTAACAGTGCCAGAAACAGTAGCAGTGCCAGAAACAGTAGCAGTGCCAGAAACAGTAACAGTGCCAGCAGCAGGAGAGGCAGCAGTAACAGTCAGCAGCAGTAACAGTGCCAGCAGCAGTAACAGTGTCAGCAGGCAGCAGTAACAGTGCAGCAGCAGTAACAGTGCCAGCAGCAGGCAGTGCCAGCAGCAGGAGAGGCAGCAGTAACAGTGCAGCAGCAGTAACAGCCAGCAGCAGGAGAGGCAGCAGTAACAGTGTCAGCAGCAGAAGAGGCAGCAGTAACAGTGCCAGCAGCAGGAGAGGCAGCAGTAACAGTGCCAGCAGCCCTGGGACCAGATTCATGAAGCAATTACCCAAGTACTTACGAACCTGTAAATCTTTTCTCAATCTTTGGCGGCTTTGTTTACAATTATTAAACAGTTAATGAGCTCCGAAGCACCAGGAGGCTGTTTACAACAATAACAACAGTTGATTGGCAAGTTTTCATGCTTGTAAACTGTTTAATAAATGTAACCAAAGCCGTCAAAGATTGAGGAAAGACATATACGTTAGTAAGTACTTTCGTAACTGCTTCGTGAATCTGGCCCCTGTTTGGTTTCTATGGTTCCCCCAATTGCCTTTCGTTCAAAAGTTAACATTCTGAACAAATCCACAAGGGACGTGACGAGGATTCGAACCTGCGTCCGAGAGCATCCCAGACACTGCCTTAATCGACTGAGCTACGACAGGGTTAAAAGGGTTGAAACCGAAGTTCTACTGAACTTACTGGATCCCGTAGCCTCTCCGAGACATTCTGGTTTGTCTTTCCCGCCAAATACACACCGGAACTACGACGTTGGTACAACGTTCGAACAAGTTTTAACACCTCCTAACCAGTTATAACAACCAATATAGCAAGTTGTAACAACGTTCTAATACGTCATAAACACGTTAAGCCAAGATGTAACAACTTTATTACAAGTTGTAACAAGCGGAAAATAGAGACAGTTTCGGTTTGTGTTTCCAGGGTTGTGAGAATGGTTCAGCACGGAGCGAAACGTCGTCGTCCCTTCACCTTCTAGTGTGTGGTCTGGTCAATATACTTCAGCCACGTTATTGTGACTCATCGCCTGCATACACTGAAACAGTTCCTACAGCTTCAGCAATTGTCACCTATTAAGGCATTACGAGTCAACCAGCATTGCTTCAAACGTTTTATGTTAGCACAAACAATCAACTGGAACACAAGAACATCAACAGTAGCCATTTTCTTGTATTTTGGAGAAGAAAATTCATGTAATGCCTGGATTTTTCTGATTGCTTACGACTCCGAAATATAGAAAATGGGTCTTATGCTCCCCCCTCAAACTTTGCTTTGACCTTGGATACCTTGGGGAAGACGTCTTTAAGAGACTTGGAAAGCTGCCGATTACTTATCTAGAGCTGCGACACATTGTTTCATAAGTCGGCAGCTTTCAGGTGCCTTCAAGACGTCTTCTACCCTAAGCTGTCTGAGCAGCCCGACCTCCTAAAGTTTCCCCCCAGCGTCAAGAAAACGGTCAATTTAAAGTAGTCTCTCCTAAGCTACCAGAGGCCCCAAAACAGAAAACGGGACAGTACGTCACTTTCGCCAGCCGCTTCCATTTTCTAGTACGATAATTTTTGGCCTTATGTGACGTATACGTGCTAAAAGTGACGTTGACCAGACCACACACTGGAAGGTGAAGGGTCGACGACGTTTCGGTCCGTCCTGGACCATTCTTAATCGACTTGAGAATGGTCCAGGACGGACCGAAACGTCGTCGTCCCTTCACCTTCCAGTGTGTGGTCTGGTCAACTTACTTTAGCCACGTTATTGTCACTCATCACCTGCTTAAAAGTGACGTTCTTTGTAGGAGACGAGGTTGGACATAAGAGTCAAAGGGACGTTTGTGAGTAATAATAGAGATTTTTTATACTTTGGTGACTTAAACAATCAGAAATGAACACTTTATTACTTATAAGTGCTTAAATACACTTATAACACGGGTTATAAGTGTTATAACCCCCGCAAGCACAATTAGATAAGTGCTTGCTATCTGGGAAAATAATTACTTCACAGCGTAATGACTACAAAACACTGCACACAGAGAATCAGTTCAGTATAGACAGTTTTCTAACAGTTAACAGTTGGAGCGTAAATTAACGAGTATAACGCAATAAATAGTTTACAAAATAATTACCGGACAGAAACAGATCTATATCAATTAGAACAATATAGAACAAAAATATATTACAAATAATTTTGATTACATTTCCTGTGTAACACATAAGAATACAGGAAAGTGCAGAAGGCCTATTGACCCATACGAGGCAGCTACTTTATATAACCCCCGAATCTCGTTGACCAGACCACACACTAGAGGTTGAAGGGACGACGACGTTTCGGTCCGTCCTGGACCATTCTCAAGTCGATTGCGAATGGTCCAGGATGGACCGAAACGTCGTCGTCCCTTTAACTTCTAGTGTGTGGTCTGGTCAACATACTTCAGCCACGGTATTGTGACTCATCGCCTGCCCCCCAATCTCATTCCTATGAGTCTAACCTACGCTTGAAACAATCAACACAGTGAAGTAAATGTTGTTGAGGCAGTCACGGTCGAAGGTCTTGTTCTACAGTACTCAAATGTCACCAGAAAACATCAACAATTGAATGACCAAAAAAAATCTGGGTATCATACTAATTAAAAAGTAACTCGTCGCAAAATGCAGCGTCAGATCTCATTACGCGATTAATTTTCATACTTTTTTGGGTCAAAAATCACTTGATTAAAACACATTGATTCGTGAGTGTCGCCTCTCACCTTCATTGGATAGTTGATTGTTTAGGGTCTCTAGGATTCGAACCCAGCCTGGGCTGTGTTACCTTGGGTAAAGGGGTTATCTTGAGGTTATCTTGAGATGATTTCGGGGCTTTAGTGTCCCCGCGGCCCGGTCCTCGACCAGGCCTCCACCCCCAGGAAGCAGCCCGTGACAGCTGACTAACACCCAGGTACCTATTTACTGCTAGGTAACAGGGACATTCAGGGTGAAAGAAACTTTGCCCATTTGTTACTGCCTCGTGCGGGCATCGAACCCGCGCCACAGAATCACGAGTCCTGCGCGCGGGTTCTGTCCTGGGGTGTCAATAACATTGTATTGTTGTTGTTAAAGATTCGCTACCTGGAACAAAAAGTTCCAAGTAACACGGGCTATAGTGAGCCCGTAAACCTTGTATTACACGGGGTTCGAATCCCCACATATTCGGCTTGAGCACTGACGCGCAAAATCTGCTTCCAGGAAAACTAGTGTTTCCTTATTATGAGTTTTAAGGATTCTAAGTCAGTTAAGTGTCATTCTTGAAAGTTCTTGTAGCTAGTAGTGCTAGTTAATCTACGCCTCTCTTCCCTCCATCTTGTATTTAGTTAACTAAGTTTGAGAAAAATATTTTCTATGGTTTTCTCAGACACACGAGTGTTCGAGCCCACCTTACGGCTCCGCTGCAGTGTTGCCACAACTATATGTTCTTGTGATCAACCTGGCTCACTCTAACACGATAACCTGGCCCTCTCTAACACGATAACCTGGCTCACTTTAACACGATAACCTGGCCCTCTCTAACACGATAACCTGCCCCTCTCTAACACGATAACCTGCCCCTCTCTAACACGATAACCTGGCCCTCTCTAACACGATAACCTGGCTCACTCTAACACGATAACCTGGCCCTCTCTAACACGATAACCTGGCTCACTCTAACACGATAACCTGGCTCACTCTAACACGATAACCTGGCTCACTCTAACACGATAACCTGGCCCTCTCTAACACGATAACCTGGCCCTCTCTAACACGATAACCTGGCTCACTCTAACACGATAACCTGGCTCACTCTAACACGATAACCTGGCCTTCTCTAACACGAAAACTTTGCCTGGAGTGGATTATCTTGGGCTTTTCGCGTCCAGTTGTGCAAAGTCTCCAAAACCTCCGTCCTCCAAGTCGACATTCTCCACTATTCCTGCAAATCCACAAACGTTTGGAAGACCTTCTACAGCCTCATGTGGTAACAGTGCCAGCAGCAGTAACAGTGCCAGCAGCAGTAACAGTGCCAGCAGCAGAAGAGGCAGCAGTAACAGTGCCAGCAGCAGAAGAGGCAGCAGTAACAGTGCCAGCAGCAGAAGAGGCAGCAGTAACAGTGCCAGCAGCAGAAGAGGCAGCAGTAACAGTACCAGCAGCAGAAGAGGCAGCAGTAACAGTGCCAGCAGCAGAAGAGGCAGCAGTAACAGTGCCAGCAGCAGAAGAGGCAGCAGTAACAGTGCCAGCAGCAGAAGAGGCAGCAGTAACAGTGCCAGCAGCAGGAGAGGCAGCAGTAACAGTGCCAGCAGCACCCTCTTGCGTGGGGGGGGGGGCCCATGGAGCCACTGGGAGAAGCACTCACCGGTGAAGGACACGTTGAGGAGGTACTCTCTGTAGAAGTCTCCGCCGTCGAACTTGTTCATAGACTCGCAGACGTGGGTGACGCCCGGGCACTTACTCTGCTGAAGGTTAGACAGCGCGTAGGCGAAAGAGTAGACGGCGTCCACCACGAACTGGACCTGGGGAGAGAAGCGATGATATATTATGAGGAGGAAATGATGTAGAGAATGGTTGGAGGGGCAAAAAGGATGAGGGAGGGAATTTTTCAGGAGAACGCGCCAAGCCATTATGGCTATATAGCATTGGGAACGGGTCAGGATAAGGATTTGGGATGGGATGGAAGGGAGGGAATGGTGCCCAACTACTTGGTGGACGGTCGGGGATTGAACGCCGACCTGTATGAAGTGAGACCGTCGCTCTACCGTCCAGCCCAAGTGGTTAGGGCAAAAGGATGAGATTTCGAGTACTAGTTTATGCCTCTGGAGGCTACAAATATTGAAGTTGAAGAACTAGTCCAGAAAGATGGCAGAGAGGATAACAGGAAATAAATGAAAGAAGTGGGGCCAGAGGGTCCTGGTGGCTGGTGTTGAAGCTGTAGGAACTGTTTCAGTGTATGCAGGCGAGGAGTCACAATAACGTGGCTGAAGTATATTGACCAGACCACACACTAGAAGGTGAAGGGACGACGACGTTTCGCTCCGTCCTGAACCATTCTCACAACCCTGGAAACACAAACCGAAACTGTCTCTATTTTCCGCTTGTTACAGCTTGTAATAAAGTTGTTACATTTTGGCTTAACGTGTTTATGACGTATTAGAACGTTGTTACAACTTGCTATATTGGTTGTTATAACTGGTTAGGAGGTGTTAAACCTTGTTCGAACGGTGTACCAACGTCGTAGTTCCGGTGTGTGTTTGGCGGGAATCGACTTGAGAATGGTCCAGGACGGAGCGAAACGTCGTCGTCCCTTCACCTTCTAGTGTGTGGTCTGATCAACATGTTTCAGTGTAAGGCTGGTTGATACCTGGTTGATACCTGGTTGATGGGGTTCTGGGAGTTCTTCTACTCCCCTGTGAAGACCTCCGCGTCACGGCCAAGGGTTACAGGAATATTGTAACCAGGTATACAAGGAAAACTTGACAAGTAGATAAAGAAGAAATATTGAAAATTATAAACTATGAAATTAGGAGACATGGCTGGAAACTAAACATGAGTCGCTCGGTAATTCTCAGGAAAACTTTCTTCGTCATAGGAATTAGAAGTAATTTGGAACGAGTTACGATTTAATCTTTTTGAAATGAGAAGGCAAAATAAAATGACATTAGAATTTAACCTAAGCCAGATCTATGTTAGGTTTAGAATACGTTATCTTAGGCTTTGGTTATGCTAGCATAATCTAGGCCTAAGAAAACATAACCTAGGCCTGACCTATTCCCGGGACAGGGTAACATTAGAATTATATTAGGTTTGATAGGGTTTTATTTTTGTTCCCGTTTAAAACTTAAAATTACGTATTTTTTTAAACATTACCCGCCAAACACACACCGGAACTACGACGTTGGTACAACGTTCGGACAAGGTTTAACACCTCCTAACCAGTTATAACAACCAATATAGCAAGTTGTAACAACGTTCTAATACGTCATAAACACGTTAAGCCAAGATGTAACAAATTTATTATAAGTTGTAACAAGCGGAAAATAGAGACAGTTTCGATTTGTGTTTCCAGGGTTGTTTCTTATTATTTCAAAAGATTAATTTTTGTTTTAAACTGTTCAGATACAAAATGTACTTTTCAACATATTTTACTAGCAACTATTTGTTCAAACGTTCAAAAATGTTCTGTTTGACCCAAAAAATTTCATCTCTATTATTTGTAGAGGAACATAATAATAAGTCTAAAACAAATAAAGGAGGCCAGACGCCTGCCGCTAGCCTCTCTCAATTTTCCAAAATGACTCCTGAGGACTGGAAGAGGAAGGAGGGAGGTTATATTTGAGTGTCACAGGCCAATCAGGGTTCGACGCCAGTGCCAATCATTAGGACACGTAGCCAGTATCTAGTTACTTGTATCAAGTATCAAGTTACAAGTATCTAGTTTAACAACAAGTTTTAACAAGTATCTAGTTACTTGTCCTCATATTTCCTCCACGTGGAGCCGGTCGGCCGAGCGGACAGCACGCGGGGCTTGTGATCCTGTGGTCCTGGGTTCGATCCCAGGCGCCGGCGAGAAACAATGGGCAGAGTTTCATTCACCCTATGCCCCCTGTTACCTAGCAGTAAATTAGGTACCTGGGTGTTAGTCAGCTGTCACGGGCTGCTTCCTGGGGGTGGAGGCCTGATCGAGGACCGGGCCGCGGGGACACTAAAAGCCCCGAAATCATCTCAAGATAACCAAGATAACGTGCGATATTTATGCTGACTTAACACTTCCCTCTTCACAATAACCTTTCAATACCAATTGCAGAAAAAAAGTATAATTTTTGATTAAATATATATTCTATTTCATTAAGAAAAAAAGGTTTTAAATAACAAAAATTGTCATTAATGTAGCAGAGATTCTTTCTTAAAATGAGAGTTACTTTAACCATAATTGCTGCTTTTTGTGGAGGAAACCGTTTGGGCTCTAAGGGAGTCGTAGCGAGTCGAAATATGCTGCCAGATTACACTGAATTACCTCTAAGGGCGCGTCAGGAAGCTAATCTTAATTGAATCGAACGGGACCCAACGCTGCGTGCCAGGGGTCAGACGCACGCACACGCACGCACACACACACACACACACACACACACACACACACACACACACACACACACACACACACACACACACACACACACACACACACACACACACACACACACACACACACACACACACACACACACACACACACACACACACACACACACACACACGTTCTATGTTGAACTATTCAACACTGGTGGGACGCGAACAAGGGGACACAGGTGGAAGCTGAGTACCCAAATGAGTCACAGAGACGTTAGAAAGAACTTTTTCAGTGTCAGAGTAGTTAGTAAATGGAATGCACTAGGAAGTGATGTGGTGGAGGCTGACTCCATACACAGTTTGAAGTGTAGATATGATAGAGCCCAGTAGGCTCAGGAATCTGTACACCAGTTGATTGACAGTTGAGAGGCGGGACCAAAGAGCCAGAGCTCAACCCCCGCAATCACAACTAGGTGAATACAAACACACAAACACACACACACACACACACACACACACACACACACACACACACACACACACACACACACACACACACACACACACGCCAGAAAACAGACATAGTATCTTACCCCCGTCTACAAATCCATTGACCAAATATCAATAATCAAAAACCCCCATCCTGTATAAAAGTGCCGGGTGAGTATAAGAACAGTTTGACGTTATGGGAAGCAAATACTGTAATTCTGACGTTATCTCCCGCCCTTCCAATAACCCGGTAACTAACCTGAAATTCGATTTGGCTTCGGGGAGGGAAAAAAAATTGGGGTTACACCTTAAAGAGAGTTTTTTGTACCCCTTCCCCCTGTTATATGGCTCCTTTCAAGAATGTCTTAAGTCTTGCAAGAACCAATGCAAGCATGGATTCTTTTTTTGTTTTCATTCCTGCATTATTGCATATAGAAATGTTTTACAAAAACATTTTGGTTCAAACAAAAAGAAGTTTTTTTTTTCAAACAAATTCTTATAATCTTGTGTGGCATTGTATTCTTGAGAGAGTAATGTTATCTTAAGTTTAAGGTTCTTTCAAGCATCTTATTCTTAAATTCTTGCTTTTCGCAGCTTGTGGGTGAGGAATTTCTATATTACTCCCTTAAAAACACCTGTTACAACACTTTGGCTTCTGGAAGAGAGGAAGTCATTGAATTTTCATCATAACCTCCACATGAATTCTCAAATTCAACTTATGTCTTCACAAAAAAGGAATTATTTTCAGGTCTTCAAATAAATGTCGAAATCTGAAAATGCGAGGAAACTTATATTAAGAAAATGCTAATATATTTTACTGAATGATTGGTGCAAAATGTTGTTATATTAGTTATATAAATTTGATCTTTTTCAGTAATTTTTAAGCTATGAATTGCAATATTGTTTGGTACAGCACTGATAGATGTTTTGATAGACAGTGGCGGATGGATCAATAGACTGTGTAGGATACATCATTAGACAATTTGGGTAAAGCAATAGACAGTGTAGAGTAAATCCATAGACAGTGTAAGATAGATAAATAGACAGTAGCGGCAGGATCGATGGACAATGACGAGTGAATCGATAGATAGTGCCGATAGAAATCGTAGAAATAGAACAACATCAGTCAATTCATTGATATTACCTCACAATACGTTGTTTCTCAACACAATCCTCATCTCTAGGCAGCGTTGTTTACGAAATATTCCTAACCATTCAGCATATTTACCAATTCCTTTGTCACGACAAATGAAAAATATTAATCTTTCGATCACGTGAATGAAAGCAGGTTTCCTGCTGGAGAGATTAATTTCTTGAGGAGCAAGTCTGTCTGGGTTTTGACTCGGCCAGTGTAAATATTTTGAATCTTTTTTGTGATCTTTATGTCCCTCTGTCAACACCCATAATACCACCACTATTACCCCTATCACCCCTACCACAACCACTACCACCATCACCACCATGACTAAGGGGGTGTTGGGGGGATTTTGGTAGGCCGTCGAGTCGCTAAGGAGCTGGTTAGTTGTGGTTGTGCTTTGTTCAGTTAGTTTTTGTGCATTGATGGAGACTAATGAGGAAAACACCTGGATAAGTTGACAGGTAAATCAAATTATTATGGATCCAATGTTTGCTTAGTAGTAATGATCCTCTACACTTTCTATTCATATTTTCGTATATCAAATAATATGCGGAAAATCCACAGAGAAATGGGAAAGAGAGAGAGGAACGTTTCGGCCGATCTGGGCCTTTATCAACACCTGACTGAGTCAACATCTGACTCAGTCAGGTGTTGACAAAGGCCCAGATCGGCCGAAACGTTCATCTCTCTTTCCCATTTCTCTGTGGATTTTCCGCATAGAAATGATCACTGTTTAGTGATCGTCAATTGCATCAAATAATATATTGACGTGGGATCGGTGGCTTGTTTTAAGCGTAGGTTGGACATTTAAGTGAGTTTAGGTGGAGGTAAATAGGTGTCTCGTTTGGACCAAAGAACCTTCTGTAGTTTGTTTTATTCTTAATTTTTATCTTGCAACCCAAAGAGGCAGAAGGAACTAAGATGATACTGAAGGGTTATGGCCCAGAAGATCTTCCCTTCCCTCCTTCCCTTTTCTCTATTCCCTCCCTCCTTCCCTACCTCCCTCAGGGACATGGAGTCATGAACAAAGTATATCAAACTTGACTCAAAATTGCCTCTCCAACTTGACCAAAATAGCTTCACAAGTTTGATCCAAACCGGCCCACGACGTGAGTAAATCGTGTTTAAATCGACCCCCCTTAACTTTTGCTTCACATTCTTTTAAAAACTCATAATCGAATCCAAAATTCATTTCGAAGTGTAAATGACCTTACACGAGACACGTACAGTGAACCTAGTTACGTAGGGCCGTGAGGAGAGAGAGAGAGAGAGAGAGAGAGAGAGAGAGAGAGAGAGAGAGAGAGAGAGAGAGAGAGAGAGAGAGAGAGAGAGAGAGAGAGAGAGAGAATCTTAGTCCTCCTTGTGGCATCAGCACACGTCTCCACCAGAGTGCAGAGAGTGCCAGGGGCGTGGCACTGACAGCCCTGCGTCATTAGTGCCTCCTCCTCCTCCCCCTCTCTACTCTCCTCCTCCTTCCTCTTCCCTCTACCCTCCTCTTCCCACTCTATACCGCTCATTCCATTCAACTTCAACTCTGCTTTCGTTTTTCTCGCCTCTTTTTTCCACCTTTCCCTTACCTCTCCCACCTTCTCCCTTATCTGTGTCTCACTTCTCCCTCATCTGTCTCTCACTTCTCCCTCATCTCTCCCTCTTCCTCACCACTTAGAGCTAAATACCGATCCTAATAAAATTTATATTATTAACTAAACCTGTTTTTATCCAGTAAATACTTGCAAGATGGTATGCTAAAATCTTTCCATTACTGTGAGTCCTCATAAATTGTGAGAGTTTCATGAGAGTTTGTTTTGATAACGAGAGAGAGAGAGAGAGAGAGAGAGAGAGAGAGAGAGAGAGAGAGAGAGAGAGAGAGAGAGAGAGAGAGAGAGAGAGAGAGAGAGAGAGAGGTTCCCTATCACCATAAACAAGATCTGGACCAAAGCATCTTATAAATAAATGCTCAAAATTCCTCCTGGATGGGTATGGGTTCGTGTCTGCTGAACCTCCAGACACGAACCAGGGACGTACCTTGGGGTCCTGCTGGTATCCCGCTTCCGTAGTAATCCTCCGGGAGGTGGGACAGGCCAGGTCGGTGCCGGGAGGACCCAGCTTGCAGCCGAAGAAGGTCTCCCAGTACTCCTTAAACCAGGGGTTCCTGGTATTGGTCTCTGGCGAGAGGTTGGCCATGTAGGTGTCGAAGCCCTTCACCACCTGTAGGGTAATGGTGGTAATGGGAGCATTATTAAGGGAGGTACTAGTAAATATTTCTTTTGTAGATGGGCAAAATTAAAGTTTTAAAGGCTGACAGTTTGAGCGAACGGGCTGGCGTAACAACTGTGTTAGATAGTTTACTTGGAAATTTAACTTTTCATGTATTGCAAGTGGGATGTCGCCCTCGCTACGACCGTAACGAGGCTATTGCTGGATAAGTAAACTACCCGGGTAGTAATGAAAGTCAAAATCTGGCAAGAGTGGGTGAAGGGAGGTGGGGAGGGAGGGAGGTGGTGACGCGAGTCAGTGTGTGACTAGCCACCTGGTGATTGATATCATTCACGCGTCGTTATCTTCCTTGGCGTCGGCCACAGCTTTGTTTGAGGATGACGGTCCCTTCACGGCGTCGTGTCGCGGGTGTGGGGGCACCACCTTGTGCGACGCGGGGTTCAGAAGCGACGTGTTTATTCGCTTTGCGTCACCTCAGAGGTCCACTACCACCCTTCCACCGTCGCCCGCCACTATGCCGCTTCATATGTGATCCCAGAGGCCTCTTCTGGTCCCTCTACAAATGCTGTGATCCCCACCTGGACTCTTTGGGCTAGCAAAACGGCTTCTGTGTCCCTTGTACGCCTACTGTGTGTCTATGTACGCCTACTGTGTGCCTATGTACGCCTACTGTGTGCCTATGTACGCCTACTGTGTGCCTATGTACGCCTACTGTGTGCCTATGTACGCCTACTGTGTACCTATGTACGCTTTGAATGACCCCTCCCTCATAGTCACGAGTGCCTATACTGTAATATAGGTTCAAAACCGGAAAAAAACCCAAATTATGCGTGTTTTTCTGTGTGGTGTCTCGGCCGGTCCAGAAATGACTCAAATCTTCATCCTGGGAAGAAGAGATGAGGCTGCCAGTGCTCATTGTGGACACATAGCGAGCCATTACAGCCAAGGCATTCCTCTGTGTGTGGCAACAGAGAGAAAGGTCAACCAAGTCGCCGTGTGTGTCACAGAGAAGCTCTTTATGAGTTACCACGAATTGTGCCTCTCTGCCAACTATGCTTCCCCTGATTACCGTTTTACAATCGTGCTGTAGGCAAAGTACAGAATTGTGTCGAGAACTAATTGATTGAGAATGTCAATCAAGTCACAATCGACTTGAGAATGGTCCAGGACGGACCGAAACGTCGTATCGTCCCTTCACCTTCTAGTGTGTGGTCTGGTCAACTAATTGATTGTTTACAATCAGAATGAAATTGGTAAAATGTACACATATATAAAACTTAATATTATGAAAATAGTGCAGTGGTATCGTATGATATTTCCCATTTACGATAGCAACAAAGTGCCATGTTACAATATAAGTGAGTTTAAAAGATGAAAGTGAAATAAGTGCCCTTATTCCCGTAAGTTGACCAGACCACACACTAGAAATTGAAGGGACGACGACGTTTCGGTCCGTCCTGGACCATTCTCAAGTCGATTGAGAATCCCGTAAGTGCTGTGTGTAACTCTGTGTTTGTGTAACAGCGTGCAGCAGCGGGTGGCGTGCGGTGCTGCTGCCGAAGCTGCTGCCGAAGCTGGGGCCAGATTCACGAAGCAGTTACGCAAGCACTTACGAACCTGTACATATTTTCTCAATCTTTGGCGGCTTTGTTTACAATTATTAAACAGTTAATGAGCTCCGAAGCACCAGGAGGCTGTTTATAACAATAACAACAGTTGATTGGGAAGTTTTCATGCTTGTAAACTGTTTAATAAATGTAACCAAAGGCGTCAAAGATTGAGGAAAGATGTACACGTTCGTAAGTGCTTGCGTAACTGCTTCGTGAATCTGGCTCCTGGCTACTGAGGCAGCAAACGCCCTCCAGAGATCAACACTCTCCACCACCTCACAGCACATGTGGTAAGTACGCCTTTATTACTGTGTTCATTACTGTTGAATTGATTTCTCACAACTTTTATAATAAATTAGTTATCATATAGTTATGTGTTTAGGCAATTGTAAGTACACTGTTGTTAAGTGACAGCCGGCCGGCCAATTTCTGGTTTTCCATCAGTCACCACGAAAGAATTACTAAACTAGAATACAATAGTAGGCTAATTATAGTTCCTATTAAAAGTATGGTGATATATAATGTATGGTAAGTAGTATCTACGATAAAGAATATTATAATATAAAAGATAACGATATTAATTAAGACATTTAGGTAATTAAGCCCAAACTACTCAATAGAAGATGAGAAGACCACGACGACGTTTCGGTCCGTCCTGGACCACTCTCAAGTTGATTGTGATATTGGTCCAGGACGGACCGAAACGTCGTCGTCTCCTCCTGTGATGGTCTTCATATCTTCACCCTCGTTATTGTGACTCATCGTATGCATACCTTTAGGTAATATAATATTGACATAGCGAGACCTAGGATGATCTTCACTTTCTTTTCCTGATCGCGTCTACTTATAATATCAGTAGTGATAGTAGGCATCCATCAGTCTCAGGAGACTATGGAGTTGCGCTCTGGTTGTCGGTCTGGAGTGGCCTCACCAGGGCGCAAAGCCACGGTAGGTTGATATGGAGAAGCTGTTACCCATGCAGCAGGTCCCCCCCTCTCCACGGCGCTGAAAGTCTCCAATGGAAAGGTATAACTTGTGATATCACCAGTTATAGTATGGTTGACGGCCCACACAGAAGTTAACAACAGAGTCAACTGTTTAGAGCAACAATGCTTAGTAAACACACCGAGACGCTTAGTCGCGTCTCGGTGTGTTCCAAATATACCTTCATATTGTTGTTGTTTAAGATTCAGCTACTCGGAACAAAACGTTCCGAGTAGCACGGGCTATGGTGAGCCCGTAGTGGACTAACCTGGCACATGAGCGGGGCAAGTAGCACGGGCTATGGTGAGCCCGTAGTGGACTTACCTGGCACAGGAGCGGGGCAAGTAGCACGGGCTATGGTGAGCCCGTAGTGGACTTACCTGGCACAGGAACGGGGCAAGTAGCACGGGCTATGGTGAGCCCGTAGTGGACTAACCTGGCACAGGAGCGGGGCTGTGGTACACCTTCAACAAACGCGTATAGATATATTGTGGGATATGGGTCAGGTGTACTCAACCTGAATTTAAGCTGTGTTAAGCTAGAGTTTCGGACTCCAGAGTCTTACGGGCTCACCATAGCCCGTGCTACATGGACATTTCGTTCTGAGTAACTATATCTAAAACAAGAACAACATAGAGTCTCGGTTCACGTGAAAATGTATAGATGTATGCTAGCATGAATATGGCTCGCCGATGGGGACGAGTTTAACAGGAGAGAGAAGGGTTCAGAGATGCGACTATCTGTATTAGTGTACACATAAGGGGCATAACTGGCTGACCCCTCACAGTGTTCAAGAGAGAACTGGATAAGCACCTCCAAAGGATACCTGATCAACCAGGCTGTGACTCATACGTCAGGCTGCGAGCAGCCGCGTCCAACAGCCTGGTTGATCAGTCCTGCAACCAGGAGGCCTGGTCGACGACCGGGCCGCGGGGACGCTAAGCCCCGGAAGCACCTCAAGGTAACCTCAAGGTAAGGTACCTATTACTGCTTAATGTACATAGTACATAATGTACATAATGTACTTAATGTACAATGTTTCTCTAATTTAAGAATCGTCGTTCGCTAAACTTATATTGGCGTGAAACCGTCCAATTGAACGCTGCCTCGCTCGAGTGACAGTGTCTTAACTGGTATATTTGGCACACTTCGCTATATGCCCCCCTAGCACTGGCGTAATTACAAAGGGATTTCAGGAGTTCCCATGGGGAATTTGCTTCGATTTGCATACACAAAACATCGAGCTCATCATGTATAGCTGCACATGTGGTGATTATCACCAACACGACATATATAATGACGGTAATATATGCACCGGCGCTCACAGGAATCGTCTGACAATGTTGGACACAGTAGGTTTCAGTTTGGAATATCTCCAGTTTCTCGGATTCCACCACCACCTGTTTAAGTGCTTGAAGGCAAATCAAATTGGGCCAGTCTCTTGGGCCAGTCTCTTGGGCCAGTCTCTTGGGTCAGTCTCTTGGGTCAGTCTCTTGGGCCAGTCTCTTGGGCCAGCTTCCTGAGCCAGCCTCCTGGGCCAGCCTCTTGGGCCAGCCTCCTGGGCCAGCCTCCTGGGCCAGCCTCTTGGGCCAGCGTCTTGGGTCAGCCTCTTGGGCCAGCTTCCTGGGAGCCAGTCTCCTGGGCCAGTCTCTTGGGCTAGCTTCCTGGGCCAGCCTCCTGGGCCAGCTTCCTGGGCCAGCCTCCTGGGCCAGCCTCCTGGGCCAGCCTCGGACGTGAGACAATATTTATATAAACTCGAAATACCAACACACTATTCCTCACATATACTTACCTTCGCCATGGCCACAGGTGGCTGGCCATTGGGATAATTAGGATCTCACCTGGCCGAGGTTCTGGTAGCTCATGCAGGTGGACATTAATACTAATGATGAGGACACTGCAACTACCGTAGGCTTTGATAACCAGTTGGCGGGCGTAGAGGATAACACTATCAACGTTAGAGGTGATTTTGAAATATTTTCTCTGGTTTTGAAGGATATGCACCGTGTACATTTTGGGGTATTTTTTACCTGCAAAGCGACCAAATGAGACTGACATTTGTTGGTCGGCAGCTGCACCGAGGTACAGGTGCGAGGACACAGTAACTACACCTGTCTTGTTAAGAATTGTCCCTACGTCTGAAGACATTAGAACATAAGAACCTAAGAATGAGGGTACCTGCAGAAGGCCTATTGGCCCCTACGAGGCAGCTCCTATTTATATCTACCCCAATCTCATTTATATATATACGTCTAACCTATGCTCTAAGCAGCCATTTGACTTCCTAAAGGAACACCTATTGGCTACAGGTCATTTGTAAAGTATACTTAATGTTGCACTTAACAATTTGTTTAAGTTGTCGTTGTCACTTTGATACATGTTATGTTGTTCCTGTGATACATGTTATGTTGTTCCTGTGATACATGTTATGTTGTTCCTGTGATACATATGTATACTCTCGTGATGGCGGCAAGAAGTGGGGTTTTAGCCAAAGTCGAAACTTTGCAACACATATTTGTGTACAACAGGAAGATAGTGTGTCCTAGAAATGTATTAAGCTTGTTGAGTTGACATTGCACGCAGCCAATGGCTCTTCTCAGAGCCAGAACATAAACTGTTGTGGGTTAGTTTACTGGTTTAGACCAAACCAAACCATTTAGACCATTTATTTAGACCATATATTTGCTACGGGCTCACCATAGCCCGTGCTACTTGGAACTTTTTGTTCCAAGTAGCGAATCTAAAACAACAACAACGACCATTTATTTAGACCATTTATTTAGACCATTTATTTAGACCATTTATTTAGACCATCCGTGCTCAATTCCCACAGTTACTTCCTCTTTACGCCTTCAATATGGTCGCTCGTTCAACCTCTGTCCTGCTCTAAAGATTTTATAATATATATTTATATATATTATATATATATTATATATTATATATTATTATATATATATTATATATTACGTTATCGTAATTTCCTTGTATATTGCCCCTAGAATTTTGCAAATCAATCATATATCAAGAACAAATATTTTTTGTAAATTATCTTTCTATGTTTTAGGTGTTAATTTGTTAATTTGTCATGTCGAAGTGGTTAACCTAACCTAACCTAACCTAACCTAACCTAACCTAACCTAACCTAACCCACACACTAGTGGCGGAGGTGAAAGTCTCTTGGAATGGCCTGAAGCATTATTAAGTCCAACCCAAGACATTGTTTTGCGTCTTAATTATTGATATCGTACGCTAATCACCTCGTTATCATGGTACGTCAATCACCTCCACAACGATGAGATGACTGGTTATTTATTAATAAATGAATCAGTTCTTCATATCAGCGTCCTAATTGCTCTCATTTATCCGATGAATATCTTTCATTAACCTAAATTTCATTCATTTTATCTCTTGAATTGCTTCAATTTTTTTCGCACGAGTTCCTTCATTCGTTTTCAAACTTGACTTCATGTTCTTAATTTCTTTCAGTCAAGTCATGAATATCCGTGATTCATCTTGTCAGGTATATTAACTCACGTGAGTATATTTTATTCTTCAATAGAGTTTACTTCACTCATCTTCTTTCATCACGTGTATTTCCTTCATCTATCGCCTGTATTTCGTTTATTAATCTATTTTACCCTCTTACTCATATCCTGTATTTGCTTCATTCATCATTCATAATTCACATCATTTACTATTAATTCATCTGTGTTCTTCACTGTATTCTGTGTATTCACCACTCATAATACGTCAGTATGAATCACTCATTACTCATTGGTCAGGCTTCAACAATTCATTGTTATTCATTGTTGTATTCATTATTCAAGCTGTTCAGTGCTTTTTATTCATCACCATTTATTCAGCATTATTCATCCCTTAATCATCCACCTTTATTCATTCCTCTTTTCATGGCTGTCTTTGTCGTGTTCTTCACGTCTGTTTGGCTAAAGCGATATAGAACATATAGAACACGATATAGAACATATAGAACACGATATAGAGTCATATAGAACACGATATAGAGTCATATAGAACACGAGACGATTCGAAAAAACTTGTTTTCTGTTTATTTAATTCAGATTAGGATGTATTAGCCTATGTTAGGCTGTGGCAGACTCGGTTGGGTTAGATTGGGTTAGCTTAGGTTGGGTTAGGTAAGATTAGGTAGGTTTTATAATCCATTGGAGAACCGGGTTGTTTATGATGTTACATGTATCCAATAGTTCTCTTGTAGTATCAGCTTACTCCATTCTCTATAGCTCTCCACCAATGGCTTACTTTCTCTCATGGGGGAAAAGAAACACGGTGCTTCATAGAAAATGGGATGCAAGCCATGACAGAAAACAACATGGCAAGGTGGTGAAAATGTAAGGATAGTGAGGGATAGGGGGAAAAGGGTCTGGGGTGGGGGTTCGATTCCCCCGTCTCGAGGCGTGAGAGACGCAATGCAGTTTCTCTAGCAGCAATCCTGACCCCACGACGCTGCTCCGGCCGTCTCATTCTGGACCATTTGCATATCAAAGATGTTGTTGATGTGTTGCTTCGCGTTTTCAGTCTCTGCTCGCGGCCCCTTGATTTGGTTTATGCTTATATTATACCCATTTTCTTTTGACCCTTTCACGATATGTTTTCTTTCTCTGACTGTTTACATTTCGTAGAACATTTGAGTTCATCCTCAGAACATGTTTGTCTAAGGTGCTTCCGTCCGGAACCAGGCAAAATGTCGAATGTACAAGTCTTAATCTACATATATAAGTACATATAGGTGACTATGGGGGGCACTGATAGATGGGAGACATACATGGTAGACACTGATACGTACAGATACTCTACTTGGTAGACATTCTACATGGTAGACGCTCTACATGGTAGATACAGCTAGGACAAGAGACCCACAGGGACGTGTTAATGGTACCTTAACCTGTACCACAAGACATAGAGACCTCAAGCTGTACCCCAGACCCCAAGCTGTACCCCCAGACCTCAAGCTGTACCCCCAGACCTCAAGCTGTACCCCCAGACTTCAAGCTGTACCCCCAGACCTCAAGCTGTACCCCCAGACCTCAAGCTGTACCCCCAGACCTCAAACTGTACCCCCAGACCTCAAGCTGTACCCCAGACCTCAAGCTGTACCCCCAGACCTCAAGCTGTACCCCAGACCTCAAGCTGTACCCCCAGACCTCAAGCTGTACCCCAGACCTCAAGCTGTACCCCAGACCTCAAGCTGTACCCCCAGACCTCAAGCTGTACCCCCAGACCTCAAACTGTACCCCCAGACCTCAAGCTGTACCCCAGACCTCAAGCTGTACCCCCAGACCTCAAACTGTACCCCCAGACCTCAAGCTGTACCCCCAGACCTCAAACTGTACCCCCAGACCTCAAGCTGTACCCCCAGACCTCAAGCTGCACCCCCAGACCTCAAACTGTACCCCCAGACCTCAAGCTGTACCCCCAGACCTCAACTGTACCCCCAGACCTCAAGCTGTACCCCAGACCTCAAGCTGTACCCCCAGACCTCAAGCTGTACCCCCAGACCTCAAGCTGTACCCCCAGACCTCAAGCTGTACCCCCAGACCTCAAACTGTACCCCCAGACCTCAAGCTGTACCCGCAGACGTAGAGACGTCAAGACCTTAGGGGGAGACTACTTTAAATTGACCGTTTTCTTGACGGTGGGAAACCTTAGGATGATGGGCTGGGCTGGTTGGCTTACCTGGCTGGTAAGTTCGACGGTGATGGCGCCCTCAGCCACCTCCTGCAGGCCCTCCACCAGGTGGCTCTGTTTCCCCCATCCGTCTGACGCCACCCAGTGGAAGTAGGACGTCAGGTTGAGTCTCCTCGCGGCCGCCAGCACGCCTCTGAGGACACGGAGGGAGGAAGCTGTTAGCTGTGGGAGTCAGACTCCATACTTTGGGAGGTGTTACACAAGATTAGATATATGTATTGGCGACTTTTACATTAAACACACACCACACACACACACACACACACACACACACACACACACACACACACACACACACACACACACACACACACACACACACACACACACACCACAACTCACACACACATCATATAAACGCGAACTAGGGGACACAGGTGGAAACTGGGTACCCAAATGAGCCAGGGACGTTTGAAAGAACTTTTTCAGTGTCAGAGTAGTTAACAGGTTGAATGCCTTAGTGATGTGGTGGAGGCTGACTCCATACACAGTTTCAAGTGTACATATGATATAGCCCAGTAGGTTCAGGAATCTGTACACCAGTTGATTGACGGTTGAGAGGCGGGACCAAAGAGCCAAAGCTCAACGCCCGCAAGGACTAGGTGAGTACACACACACACAACACACACGCCAGCATACAATCTTCTCCAGACCACCTACACTACATCGTGTATAATGAGCTTGGATTGTAATAGGTGCCAAGCGCTCAGAATATATACATGAGAGAGAGAGAGAGAGAGAGAGAGAGAGAGAGAGAGAGAGAGAGAGAGAGAGAGAGAGAGAGAGAGAGAGAGAGAGAGAGAGAATGAGAGAGAGAGAGAGAGAGAAGAGAGAGAGAGAGAGAGAGAGAGAGAGAGAGAGAGAGAGAGAGAGAGAGAGAGAGAGAGAGAGAGAGAGAGAGAGAGAGAGAGAGAGAGAGAGAGAATGAGAGAGAGAGAGAGAGAGAGAGAGAGAGAGAGAGAGAGAGAGAGAGAGAGAGAGAGAGAGAGAGAGTTTATATATTACAGAAAATCGAACGAGTTTAGGATTGAACAATTTCTAGAACAGAACTTAAGCGTGTGATACAGCCCGAAAACTTCTTTCCAGTCAAGCCTGTTAGGCAGTACCTGGTGACCTGTGAGGCAGGACCTGGTGACCTCCCTCTCCCTCTGGTCCGTCACAACACCCAGTAGATGCAAGCCGAAGAGCGTAGTCCCTGCAGATTTCTCGTCCCTGGTTGATGTTACAGGAAGTGTGTATTGCCTCTGAGAGGCTGCATTTATTACTGCAAATGTTTCCAACGTTTTAGGCCAGCGCCATATGTAAGCTGGAAACATTTTCCCTTCCAAGAACATTTGAAACTGGAACGTTTTAGTGCGAAAGGCTTTAGTGCGGGGCTCCTTAGTTACGTTCCCTGAGTAAATCACTTTAGACTGTTATGGAAACGTTTCAGTGCGGAAGGTTTAGGCTGGAACGTTTCACTGAGACATGAGTCGTCTGGTATTGAAAGGTGACAGAGTTAACTGTCATTGACAGTTGCTTCAAGGAACGACATAGACAACTGTCGTTAGATTAATCTTCCAGTAAGACGAGTGTCTTAAGTGTGTGTGTGTAGAACTGTCAAGTGTACAGTCTGTCTGTCTGTCTCTCTCTCTCTCTCTCTCTCTCTCTCTCTCTCTCTCTCTCTCTCTCTCTCTCTCTCTCTCTCTCTCTCTCTCTCTCTCTCTCTCTCTCTCTCTCTCTCTCTCTCATCATTCCTTCCCACAACACCTTACCTTAATGTGTGCTCCTACACCACCACCTCCCTCCTCCCCCTCACCCCTTCACTTCCCTTCACCCATCCTTCTCCTCTTCCTCCCCTTCCCTTTCTCATTACCTTTCTCTCTTCCCCTCCCCATCACCCCCTACCCCCCCCCCCCCACCACTTAGCGTGCGCTACTCTCCCGAGAACCGCTTAAAAAATAGCTTAAAAATGTTATAAATTTCCTTCAAGTTGTGATGCTGAGTCGTTTGTTTGTTTGTTTGTGTGTGTGGCGCGGTGAGAGCGCGCGCGTGCCCGCACGGAATTGATGATGAAGGCGCTAGCTGTATGTGTGTGTGTTTGTTTACATGGTCTAGATGGTCATGGAAGGTTGAGCTTCAGTTCCTGGCCCCCCCCCCCCGGCCTGATAGGCGACTGGGGTATATTGCTATTACTCCTGTAGCCATTTTGCCGTCTGTCACAACGTGTTCTAATTAGTGTGACGTCGGCTTCGTCTTCCTTCGCTTTTAGTAAGTTATTGTCTATGTTGTTCCCTAAGCAGTAAAATAGGTACCTGGGTGTTAGTCAGCTGTCACGGGCTGCTTCCTGGGGAGGGGTGGACCGAACCCTGCGGTACTCCAGTTGTTCATTCCCTTTCCTGCCCAGGCACTTAGACTGGACGGTAGAGCGACGGTCTTGCTTCATGCAGGTCGGCGTTCAATCCCCCGACCGTCCACAAGTGGTTGGGTACCATTCCTCCCCCCCCCCCCCATCCCATCCCAAATCCTTATCCTGACCCCTTCCCAGTGCTATATAGTCGTAATGGCTTGGCGCTTTCCTCTGATAATACTTTCCCTCTCCTGCCCCCAGGAAGCCCCTCTCCCCCCCCCCCGCCTCAGGAAGCCCCCGACCTCCCTCCCCCACCTAAGGAAGCCCCCTCCCTCCCTCCCCCACCTAAGGAAGCCCCCTCTCCCTCCCTCCCCCACCTAAGGAAGCCCCCCCTCCCCCCCTCCCTCCGCCTCAGGAAGCCCCCTCCCTCCCTCCCCCACCTAAGGAAGCCCCCCCTCCCCCTCCCTCCGCCTCAGGAAGCCCCCCCCTCCCTCCCTCCCCCACCTAAGGAAGCCCCCTCCCTCCCCCACCTAAGGAAGCCCCCCCCTCCCCCCTCCCTCCGCCTCAGGAAGCCCCCTCCCTCCCTCCCCCACCTAAGGAAGCCCCCTCCCTCCCTCCCCCACCTAAGGAAGCCCCCCCTCCCCCCTCCCTCCGCCTCAGGAAGCCCCCTCCCTCCCTCCCCCACCTAAGGAAGCCCCCCTCCCCCCTCCCTCCGCCTCAGGAAGCCCCCTCCCTCCCTCCCCCACCTAAGGAAGCCCCCTCCCTCCCTCCCCCACCTAAGGAAGCCCCCTCCCTCCCTCCCCCACCTAAGGAAGCCCCCCTCCCCCCCTCCCTCCGCCTCAGGAAGCCCCCTGGAAGCACCTGGGGCGCCACTTGGGTTCTTAATACTATTCCGCTAATTTATTTTTCCCCCTGAATGTGAGAGAGTAATTAGGATTATTTATAGCATAAATCTAATTGTCATTTTAGCGGCGCTAATTACTGCCTGGATTGTTGCTTCTTGGAGCTGCTTGATTAATTGTTCAAGATGAATGTTGTAATTGTAATTGTTCTCCATTTGCTTCTTGGAGCTGCTTGATTAATTGTTCAAGATGAATGTTGTAATTGTTCTCCATTTTCCTGCTTTTGTTTTTGCTGTTGTCATTGTTGTTGCTCATTGCCAGTTCGTTAGTGATAACGTCAGATAACGTTATTTTTATTTATTTGTATGTTCGGATGATTGTAATTCAGGTGATTGTAATTGTGGTTATTTTTTGCTACTGTTTATTACCGGGGTAATTGGTGCATTGTTACGAAGCTGACAGTGGTTAATAGACTGTCTCCCCCTGACCTGTAGCGCAGTGGTCGACGCTGCCAGCTCACAATCGACTGGACCCGAGTTCGATTCCCGGGGTAGTACGAAAAATTAATGGCCATTATATTCTATCCACTTCCTTCCTACCTCCTCTGCGTTCTTCCTTCTTCTCTTCCATCCTCCTTCCCTCTCTCTTTCTCCCTTCCATCCCTATAAGTCTCCCTCCATCCCTCCCTCCCCATACACTCCCCTGTGGTCAGCCAAATAACGCTCACTATCTTGCGTGTAGCGGCCGTGCCCTCGGGGTAATTGTGTCATTTATCCATTAATTCCTGAAGGAAAACTGAGGATTTGTGCGGAGTGGGGACGTCCTGGCCCCCCCACGGGGGAGTGGGGACGTCCTGGCCCCCCCCACGGGGGAGTGGAGACGTCCTGGTCCCCCCACGGGGGAGTGGAGACGTCCTGGCCCCCCCCACGGGGGAGTGGGGACGTCCTGGCCCCCCCCACGGGGGAGTGGAGACGTCCTGGCCCCCCACGGGGGAGTGGGGACGTCCTGGCCCCCCCACGGGGGAGTGGGGACGTCCTGGCCCCCCCCACGGGGGAGTGGAGACGTCCTGGCCCCCCCCACGGGGGAGTGGGGACGTCCTGGCCCCCCCCACGGGGGAGTGGAGACGTCCTGGCCCCCCACGGGGGAGTGGGGACGTCCTGGCCCCCCCACGGGGGAGTGGGGACGTCCTGGCCCCCCCACGGGGGAGTGGAGACGTCCTGGCCTCCCCCCCCCTCCCCACAGGGGAGCGTGATTCGCCACAACGTACAAAATACAGCGTCCCAACGTCCCAAGAGATGAAGAAAGTGAGAAGAGGCAAAGTTAGTGAGGAAGAAGAAGAAGAGAGAAGAGAAAGGAGGTGATGAAGGGGCTGGCAAGAGACGGGAGGGATAATGAGGAAGAATGTGGGTGAACAGATTTATAGGGGTAAAAATAATCGCATTATTTGTGTTTAAATATAATTAATTTTTGAAGAAAAAAATTGAAAGTCTGTGTTCCTTAATGAGGAGACATGAGTCTTACCTTGTTGAGGCGCTTAGTTTCCCCCTCACCTGGCTTACCTTCCCCTCACCTGGCTTACCTTCCCCTCACCTGGCTTACCTTCCCCTCACCTGGCTTGGTTCCTTCCCCACACCTGGCATGGTTCCTTCCCCTCACCTGTCCTCCCTTGCTCTTCTTTCCCATAGCCTTCCTTCTCTCTTCTATCTCCCTCCTCGCCTCGTTTCATAGCTCTTTCTCTTCAATCTTTCTCCCTCTGCTATAGCAAGCTCTCTCTCCTCTCTCATATTCCTCGCCTATCCACGGTCTATCCCCCTCTCCCCCGCTTCTTGCCTGTCGTGTCCTCTATCCACTAACACTAATCCAGGCTTGAGGAGGAGAGTTTGGTACCTGCAGGCCAGCCGGCCGGCCGGACCTGTAACCTCTCCCTCGTGTCTGGCCGCCTGCCTGGTGTTGGCATACACCTTTATTGCTCTATACTTTATTTAATGTTC